TATGATAAGTGTATATATTATGTGTATATATTATGTACTTATACATACTTATGCACACTTATATATAAATTCAACAACAATTATTTCTTGTGTATATTTTTAGGATGAAGATTTTCGCAAAGGAGTATACTTTAGTGAGTGGCCTAATTCTAGTCTCAATCATCATGTGAGAACAAACATTCTTTTGATAATGATGCAAAAACCGATGACTATTAAAGTATTTTCCGCTTCGGTCGACGTTGTTATGTTCACCAACGTAAGTATTTATGTTGCTGTAATTCTTAAACTAAGAATGTAAGCTTACGTTTCCAAATCCTTTCAATTTCTGTTATGTCATTCTTTTAAATCTATATTTTTCCACTTATACGAAAGAAGATTTAAAATTTAAAAAAGTAACGAAAAGTAACGAAATATAGTGAACTCTTAAATTGGACTCGTACAATGAAGTTAATATTTCCTTAAATTATGTATAATATAAACTTGGATTTATATAATTTAGTATAAAGAAAAAAGTAAAGAATGTTAGAAATGATTCAAAAAATTGGAAATTTATATTTTAACAAAACCAATCAGAAATTTATTCTTATAAACTTTTATCGAGTGTTTAACAATTTTGTTTTACGTACCAAACTTGACATTCCACATTGATAAATAACATTTATTACTATTTTTTGTATATTGATCTACTTCTAATCATTTTGTCTTAATTGTTTTAATAGTTTGTGAATACTACAATGTCGTACTTCTTTTTGTTGCAATCTCTGGGCGATAAGGGTGGATGAAGATACCATGCATTAATTAGTTTTCTATTGTAAACTTGTAATATTATTGTAATATATTAAGAAAATACAATTAAAAAGATGCAAACAAGATATTTTTAATTATATTAAAAATATTATTATAGATTCAATTGCACAGACTATTAATTTAATTTCGTTTAGAATTAAAAGTAAAATTAAAAGTAAAAAGTTAACGTTGAATCTTTTTTTATATATTTTTATGTATAAAGTTTGCAATTATCTTCTTACAAAGCTTATTAAAAAGTTTTTTATAAATTAAGTATTTATTATAAATTTAAGTGTTATATACGCATAGCATTAACATAAACTAATTAATTCTTTCTTCTTCACTAATGTATTAAACTGTGAAAATATATGATTTATAATGAAATATGATAATAAATATTTTTTTTAATACTATATCGTATTATTATTAATGCAATTATTATAATAAAATAAAGTTTCATACCTCACTATTAACAAGAAATTCTTATTAGAAAATAATCCTGTACATATTTATAGGATTTGTCAAAAAACCATCCATTCACAACAGAATATCAATTTTGTTTTTAATGACATAGGTAATTACAATGTCAGATTACTATTAATATTTTTACCGATTTAGGTTATAAGAATATATATCAATTCAGTATCAATCAAATAAAATTTAAATAGAACGTAAAATTGAACATTCCGAACATTCGTAAACAAGACATATCATATGAGCAAGTTTTAACTATTATTAGATCGGGAAACGAAATGCGTAATCTTTTCTTGACTTGACAACTGCTAATATCAATCTATCTCAAGCACTGAATCTCTTTCCTTTCTTGGATATATACGTGATTCAGCTACTTTGACGCTGTAATCGATATTGCGTAGAGTTAATTTTATCTTGAAAATGTTAAACATGATTTGAAGATAGAGCGGAAAATCGAATACGCAACTCTTTCATATCCTGACGACTGTTTAGCATGCTGAATTATCAAATCATTCCAATTACTGAATCTTTTTCTTTTCTCGTACGTATCTAACTGCGCTACTCCGACAGTGCAATTAATAATGTGGTAGAGACAATTTTCTCTCAAAAATGTGAAACATTGTGGGTTGCACGAGAAATTGAATACGCAACCTCTCTTTTTCTTAATGATTTTTGTCACGCTAAACTTTCAAACTGTCTCAAGCAATAAGCTATTTCCTTTGATGTATGTATCTAACTGCACTAAAATCGATATCGAATAAAGTTCATTTTTCCTTACCCTTTAAAAAAAAAAAAGCATTGTACTTAAACGTACCTAGATTCATACAGAGTTCTTTTTTCCTTTAAATGGATACATCGTCATATGTGAAAAAAATTTGCTAATCCTAACATGACGTAACCCACAGATTCGTAGCTTTGCCTTGCCATTCTCTTTGAAATGCAATTTTTCTTATATGCTCAAAGGCCGTCTCTATACAGAACACTCGAATGATAGCCCGTTTGTACCGAAACACCGGCGAATAGCACATTAAAACTGTAATTAGTGATTAAGAATTCAGGGTTTCCATAGACGAACCGTGTTGCGTGAACGATAGCACTTGAAAGATATTACGTGTAATACATCTTACAAAAAAAAAAAAAAACAACACAGATCGCTATCATTTTACGAAGTTTTAGATTTCAGAGACAGAAGTTAAACTTGCTTTTTCCGTCACTACCTATAATCCCGTCGTATTGAAAGCATCGGAAATGTAGACAGCTATATGTAGCAATATCCAGTGAGATATCTGAGTACAAGGCTTAAAAGAAAAGTTTTCTTTTAAACATTTGGATAAACAGTAAGATTTCGAATAGAATTTATAAAAATTATGACAAGTCGTGTTCTGCTATAGTGTAAGCATTTTCCTAGAATTCTTATATAAATTGTAATAATCTTTAAAAATTCATTAAAGATTATCTTCTATTTATTCATTTTTTTAAAGATTACTAAAGACTATACTAAATACTATTGAATACTATTTTATACATGTATACATAAAACAGAAACCGTCACTGTATTATTACTTTGCGAATTTTAAGTATAAGATCGGAAAATTCATTTGTTTAATTGCTATAATAACAGTTTTAAATGTTAATATTATCGATTCAGTACAATATGATATTATTACAAATATTAATATAAAATTATTTGTTTATTATTATTGTCATTAAAGTTGCAGGAAAACACAAACAATAAAAGAATTAAAATTTTGCTCGAATTAAACATCAACTAAAACTATATAAATATTTTAATATTTTAAGGAATTAAAATTTCTCAGTTTGAAAACTTTTCATTCAATATTTCGTAAACTTAATCGATGTTGGAATCAACATGACTGATAAACAATTACAAAGGTATCGTAGATACCAGAGTTTTCTTCGGAGGATGCTCGTAATTTGTGGCTGTTGGCACACTTCCACGAAATCTGGCAAAACCACACAGTACTATTCTTTTATCGTACTTATATTGTTGGTTATGTTTATCACGATCAAGCTTCATATTCTGTATCAGTTTAGACATAATTTGGTACATCTGATGAAAAACCTAAGCCTATTGATGATTTCACTTGGCAGTATTCTCAAGGTATAAATGTAGATTTGAATACAATGTAGATTAGAAAAAATACTTATATATATATATATATATATATATATATTACTATAATAGAAGTATTAATATATCATACTTATATGTGACATATTAATATATCAATATCTTCTCTTAATGATTTTTCGATAAGACAAAAAGATTATAAAATTTAATGCTTCTTCGCTATTTTAAAAATTAATTCTTCTTTCTATGAACTATGTGTGTATATTATATAAAGAAATAATTAAATTTGCAAATTATTTAAAGATACTGCACATATTATGTAAACACTCTTTAAAAAAGTAAGTTGATTGTATTTAATGTAACAGCATTCCATTTAATTGTTTAAAGATATGTATTTATATATATATATATATATATATATATATATTCCATCTTTTGTGAAAAAGAAGAATTTTTAGCAATACTTTTTTTCTAAAACAAAAATAATAATTCATACAACGAATATTATTACAAATTTAAAATCACAGAACTAAATATAAAAACACATTGTGCAAATTATTCCTCTTGCGCAAAGAACAAATGCATGAATTTTTGTTCCCTTCAAGGTCTCCTGCTTCTTAATCAATCGTCGTTTTCTGATCGCTTATCACCGTACACTGAATAATCTCTTTGAGAAAGAACTTTCGCAGAGTGAAAAAGTCCGAACAGTGATGCTTTCGCCCTTACGCACAATAGCTACTCTCGCATATGCATATTCTGCCATCGTAATTACCTTAAGTATGACGTATTTCCTGCCAACGTACATCATTATCATCCGCGGTATGATCCATTTACATATACCTTCGAACTATACTCTACCGTATACCAGAGGACACGGATACGGATACTTTTGGACTGTTCCCCCTGGCATCCTTCGTCATTTACACATGTTCTTCGAATCGTACCTGACAGTGATCAACTCTACTACCTGTACCGGCGTTGACAGCGTCTTCGGATTCTACATCTACTTGCTGACCTCGACGATGCGTGCCATGACTTTCAAACTCACAAATCCATCACCCAATGACAAGTTCTACGATGTGCTGAAGATAAACGTGGCAAAGCACAAGAAGTTAATGCAATGTCGAGACATACTGACGCGGGTTTACAGTCCGATCATTCTCTGGCATATCATCACCAATGCTGTATTCCTTTGCTCATTGATATTCGACGCCGTGAAAGTATGCAAAAAATGACTTTTAATATTGACCTACGTATTCGATAACGTATTCGATGTAAAAAATGGCTTTTAATATTGACAACCTACGTCGATCGCATTTGGAATCAAACATTATGAATAAATATATTTCTGGTTGATATAATGAGATGTACCAGCCGTATATCTCATTGTACCATGTATAGTATTATAAATTATAAAAAAAAATGTATTTGTTGTATATAAACAGCAATATTATGCATTTATTTGCGCAAATCTTAGCAAAATAAAAATTGAAAGGGTGAGAGCAGAGCAACATAAATGTGACCAATCCTTCTGAAAAGCTGTTATTTTTAAAATGTGTTTTCAATTTACGCTACAATTACGATTCGGATCTTCATTTTCGCCAAAATGATCTCGATGAAAATACTAATTAAAGTGAAATCAAATTGGAGGGAATTTGCTATATTTATTTTGCTATGTATTGATTTCAGTCGCGAGACGTATGTCGCGTTCATACAAAAATTGCAAGGTTTCCTTGTAGAAATTGATATACTTAAAATATGTTCTCTAATACTTCTCTATCTGTCAAATAATATCCTTCACATACAAGTTTTTAATTATGTTTGCATAATACTGCATAATATGTATGTATTAATTTAATGATTAATTACCAAACATTTACAACAGCTTTCAAATCGTAGCTTCGACAAGATAGTGAATTTTGTAACATTTTCTATGCTAAAATTGCTCCAAATGTTTATATATACCTGGTATGGTACTATTATCACAACTACCGTGAGTTTTAGTGACTCAATATTTAATTATATATATATATATATATATATATATATATATATACTCAAAAGTAATCATTTCTCTTACATATATACGTTTAGGATGAAGATTTTCGCAACGGAATATATTTCAGTGAGTGGCCTAATTCTAGTCTCAATCGTCACGTGAGAACAAATATTCTTCTAATGATGATGCAAAAGCCGATGATTATTAAAGTATTTACTACTACTGTTGACGTTGTCTTGTTCACCAATGTAAGTATTTAAGTTGCATATGGACAAGAACGGAAGTTTGATTTCAAAATATTTCCAGCTGCTATTGTCATTGTTTTAAAATTTATATATTTTTTTTTAATCCTACACAAATAGAAGAGATACAATTTGAAAAAATAAAGAAATTAAAAAAATACAAGAAATTGGATGCCAACAAGAAGGTTAATGTTGCTTTAAACGGAAATAAAACTATATATAGAATTCACGATATAAGAAAAGAAGAAAAAAATATTAGAATAATAATTCGAAAAAATGTAAATTTATATTTTAACTTCAACTTTAACCTTCATCTCTTAACCTTAACTTAAGAGAAATTAAGAGTTTATTTTTATAAAGCTTCTTTACATTTCTGACAATTCTATTATACGTATGAAACTTAAAAAATTCTTTTCTGCATGATTAATTATTTTTATTAATTATTTCTTATGTTGATTTAATTCTAACAGTTTTGTTTTAATTGCAAGTTCGTGAATACTACAATGTCCTACTTCTTCTTGTTGCAATCTTTTGAGTAAAGATGGATGAAGACGGATACTTCACATAAATTATTTTCTGTATAGTAGTAAATATGTAATGTTATTGTAATATAAAAAGATGAGAAAAGTGCATTCAAGGTATTAGTAATATTCTTTATTAGATTAGAAACATTATTACGGATTCACTTGCACAGAATAGATTTCATTTTACCCAAAATTAAAAATAAAAGATTATTAACATAAAATTTCTCTTCATCTTTAAATATAAAACCATTTCAATTATTTTTTTTTAAATTTACTATAAAGATTCCTCATTAATTAAGAACTAGTTATAAATTTATATGTTTAATTATGATTACAAACATGCACACGCAAATTGAATGAATGCATGCACTCTTTCTTTTTCACTAATATATTGAACTACCACAGTAGCCACTCAAATTTCATGATTCAAATGATAAAAAATCTTTTTTATTATACTATTATTATGTATATTATTAGATTTGCCAATAATTTCGTGTGGTTTTTTTAATCTGTGAAAGACGATTTTTTTTATAGAAGATAATAATTTTAGAATAGATAAAATATATTAGCCTTTGTGATCCACTATCTTTTGTCATCTTTCGGGCAACTTCATAACTCCTCGTTCAAAGAACTTCGTGTCTTTCTCGACGAAAAATGTTCTCTAATGACTTCCTCGAAAACAAAGCGCTGTCCATACAAGGAGTTCTGAAGAGAAAGAAACAGATGGTAAAACCGAAAAAGCAAGAGAAATATGGAGGATGCGGCAAAACATGCTAACCGAACGCCGAACCGAAAATAATTGTTGGTTGTTTGTAGAGATGCGTGCAGCTTGTCATTGTCGCGATGGAAGAAGAAAACCTTTGAAACTCATCAATTCTAAAAACTTCTCCCGGATCGCTGTATTCAATTTGTCCAGCTGACCACGATACACTCGAACTAATTGTTACGTTCTTCAGAAGAGACTTATAGAATACAACATTGAGAACATGATCTCGCTTGGATGAAGTCTTGCCTTTGAAATGTTTCGCGACGGTTTGCCATTGCTCTCACGATCTTTTACTTCCGATGTATTTTAGACAATCCATTTTTCGACACTAGTCATTCTCGCTTCAGAAATGGATTGTTTTCTACAACGATACAAGTCATGTGTTTTTTAAAATATATATTTCCAATTTCAAAATAGAAATTAAATTTTTTTTCGTCCTTAGCTACAGTCGCATTGATGGCATTGGATATATAGATAGTTTATAGCGATATCTAGTCAAATTTCTGAATACAACACTTCTGTTAGTAAAGATCTCTCTTGGATAAACCGTAATATTTCGAATAGAATTTGTAAAAGTTGTGACAACAAAATTCTAATATAACGTAAGCGTTTGCTTTGCTCGCAAATTTCCAATTGCGCCGTACTGTCCTATACTACATGCGACAACGTATTCAGTTTACTTTATTTTTCAATAAAAGGAATCGTAAATGTAGCTAGAATCATGTACGATTCCTTTTTCTTTCCTTTAAACAGACACAAATTCAAATAGATACAGATAGACACAGATACAAATAGATAAAAAGATATTACTGATCTTGACGCGACTCGCGACGCGACAATTCAATGTGTGATCACAGCATCAGAAATTAATGCTATGCCGCGACATGCTGGAGCGCATTTACGCACCGATCATTCTCTGGCCATATTATCGCCAGTACCATAACTCTTTATTCATGAATATATGATTCAGTATGTTAATATAAAAATTTAATTTCATATATATTCCGTGTGTAAATTTCATATTTTTTGTATATGTATATATTTAATTTTTCTGTTAAACGCGAGATGATAATTAATATATGATCATTAATATTGCATCTTATGCGAAAATATATTGCAAAATAAGGTTCCTTTGTATTTAAAAATAAGTTCGCAAATACCAGATGGAATTTCTAGACTTTTTTGTATGATCTTATTGGAAATATATTTTCTTATCATTTCCAAAATATGTATAAAAATGATCGCTGCGCAGGGTTGATCAGGTTGATCAATGCAGGAATTAATATGACTGATAAACAGTTACAAGCGTTCCGTATGTATCAGCGTTTCATGCAGAAATCGCTTACCATCTGTGGCTGTTGGCACATTTCGAAATCCGGCAAACCTACGTATTATTGGACCGCTTGCGTGCTTTCAGTGCTAGTTGCAATTCTGCTGATACTCTTTCATGTCAATTATATCTATAGATATATATAGCATTTATGATGAAGAATATAGGCCTAACAATAGCTGTACTTAACGGTACTTTTAAGATAGAAATCTGAATTTGATCAGACAAATTAGCAAAACAATTTACATTTACAAGATATGAAATATGTTAATACATACTAAAAATTTCTAAATATATATTATTATTATTATTACGACAATTGAAAACAATTAGAGAAAATGAGAATCCGCGCGGTGTAAAAAGTGTGTAAATATAATTTTAGCAATTTATCAATATAAAAATTATACGAATATTTCGGCTCCAGTTCGAACTGTCTTCAGTGATAATGCGGAAAGATTTCTTGATTCCAATATGGATTCTTAATTGCCCTAATTTTCTTTAACTATATTTATATGGAGAAGCATCATAGTTTTAATTATTATTACGACTCTATTAAATGACAAAATAACACATTGTACATGCCAGTTTTGCTTCCAGTCTCACGTAAAGAAATAAGTATGTATGTCTCTAATTTTCTTGCAGGTTATAAGTTTCCTGATCATTGCTCCTTGATCCATCATTATGCATGATCTTTTCGAAGAAGAGCTTATGCAAAATAAGACAATCTAAGACGATGCTCTCGCCGCTACATACAATACGTATCTTAAGCAGGTATGTCGTAGGCCTAGGTATGTGTAAGACATAGACTGTAAATATGTAGAATATTTTAATTGTCTTTATCTCTTGAAGAAAAAAAACGCATTTGCAAAAAAAATCTTTTCAAACGAAAGTTGCGTGATCTGAAGGAATACAAATAATGGTAAAGTTAATTTTCAAAAAAGTATACTCTTAGATTGCCACCGATCACGCGTGTAATGTTGCCTCACAATAGCTTTTAGCTTTAATCTTTCGTAAATACAGCTAAAAAAGTGAAATGTCAAAATAAAAAAATGCATTTATATGAACAATACCCACATAGTATGCAAGAATAGAGCAGTGTATTTGCAACAATATTGCAACAATATTGCAGCAATGCTAGATTATAACTGCATGATCTATGATATATACATAATTTCTGATCAAAATTTCAAGATTCTTAATTCTTTTTATAAAAAAATGTCAAATATCATCTTTTTGCATATTAACTCTCAATTATTTTAGGAACAAAACGTGCTGGTAAAATTTGGCTTGCAGCAAACGTTTTCAACACTAAAAATTTAAGAAGAAATATCTTGTTCTGTTAAAAATAACTTTTGGCTGTAGATTATAATTATTATTAGTTGAATTATTCAATTACTGAAAGATAGTTTTCCTCTAATACCGATTGTGTTCCCAAATCAATCGAAATAAAGCGTCCGAACTTTTCGCCAGTTTAATTAGACCATGTTCCGATGTCTAGTGTAAATATATAGTATATGTGATGTGAATTATAGATTTTGAATATCAACGATATATCGGAACACGGTCTTAATAGTATTTAGAAAGAAATATAACTTGCATAGGCCATATTGAAATAAATATTGTGCGATAAAAATGTATGTATTGTTAAAATTGATGACAATTAAAAAGTGACAATAGGCTTGTGCTTTTTAGCTGAACTTCTTGTTCCATTGATCTTTTTCCTTCTTTTCTCCATCATGATCAAGAAAAGAAGAAAGGTACAAAAAATTCAGCTAAAAAGAATAAGACTATGTTATAAGACATTTGCTATTTCTCTATTCAGAATTGGATTCGGACTTGGAACCAATGAACACAGTGAGGCGGACACAAAGATAAAAAAATATCAACATGTAATCCACTTAACCTTACTGGTTAGACTAATATTTTATTTATCGTCAAATTTTTGAATTGACTAGCTATAAAATAAAGATTACAATCTCGGGAATTTTCTGTACACACAATACCTGTTATCTCGTGCAAAAAGTAAACACCAATCACGTACGACGCTGTGCTCCGCGGCCGCGAGTCTCTCAGTGATCACTTTCCGAACGCAGTCACTCTTGATAGGTTAAGTGACGGCACGTAGGCTCGTGAGCACTTGTTAAGAACTCGCGGCAGTATTGAAACATCCGTGTAACGTGTCGCGGAGTAAAGGTCGCTCGTCGGGCGCGCATCGGTCGGCCTTCCATTGGCAAATTCGCGAAGAGCGGCAATCTCGTTGTTCGGTGGGCTCGGCAAACACCCCCTCGCCCCTCGCCGCGTTAGCCGGCCGGAACCATCTTGCGCGACATCCGATTTTCCCGCGTGCTGGCGAAGCGCTCCCGCGGAGGAGAACCGTCCGTCCCGCGGAGATAGCAGCGAATGCAAATGGCTGTCACGGCCGTGCGTGAGTGCCCGCCAGCCGTTCCCGCGTGTCCCACGCGCGAGTGTGCCGAGAAATCGACGCGCGCGATCGATATGTGATGACCGGCGTCGGTCGTGTCGGACATCAAGCTGGTGGTGCTTGCGCGTGGCAACGTGAACAAACGCGTCGCGTTCAGCGTTAACGTATTTTTATAACGTGCGCGTGCACGCGGGAAGTCCGCTCGTGACGGGTGTGCAAGCGGGAGAGAGCGAGAAGGAGATACACACGCGCGCGTGCACGTGTGTGTGCGACCCTCCGCGGCGGCAGCTGCGGCGACGGCGGCAGCGGCAGCGGCGAACGACTCCCGTCCGGTAGCTGCGTCGTGAACTCGGGGCGATATCGCGCGCGCCAAGATCCGAGAGGGCTCCACGCCAGATGGTCATCGCGCTCGTCTCGCCAGCGAACCGCCCGTGGAGCGTTATACGAGCAGGTAAACAATTATCAGATGCGTTATCTTCCGCCTGTCTTTGAAAATACTCCTCTCGACCGATTCGACAATGATCACGCTTATGAAATCATTCTGTGATATCTCGGACCACGTTTCTACTTTTGTGTATCTATATACATAAACGACCGAACGATTGTTACGATATTAATTCTTACGCTCGATCTTTCTTTAGAGAGAGACGTAAATAACTGGTGAGTTCATCTTATTTCACATATATTCATTACATTCTGGCTCATAGCACAGTGTTTACTTGCGATCTGTCTCATTAATACAACCAATATGGAATGAAATTCACATTCATGTTCCATGTTTCATTGTAGGTGCATCTGCTTAACAAGAAGAGGAAATTTTGATCGGTGATAAAGATGCCAGCAGTTAGCGTCTGTGATCCTATCGCAGCCAGGCTTCACTGTGCTTTGAACAGCAGTCCATCTAAAACCACGGACGATCTATCGATTGAGCTAGTGAGCAATGCCTCGCGAATCATGCAAACGGAAATCCGTTACGAAGAATTGAAGGATTTCCAGACGACGAATCAGGTGCAGGCTAATTGCAACATTTTTCTTAATATATCTTCTTCAGAGAATTTAGAGGAGGGTAAGGTGAAGGATGGTGGGAATTATAAAAAGAAGAACGATACGAATAAAGGGCTGGTTCTGCCAGAACCAGCAATCACCTTGTATTCCCCCAAGAAGGTTCATCTCGGGTGGAAAGGTACATTTCCAGTTGGAGCTGGCATGTACAACGTCGGAAATACTTGTTACCTGAACAGTACGCTTCAGGCGTTGTTTCATGTTCCGGCTCTTGTCAATTGGATGCTGTCCGATCCACATCACAATTCCAAATGTGAACAAAATAGTAAGTCTATATATTATTCTATAATGTGCTTAATTTGTGGCATGTGTGTTTGCATATATAGCATAAAATTATAATGGTTTGGTTTTGTATGATGTTTTGATAATAGGATAATTTTAGATGGCGGTGGAGAATGCCTTACGTGTGCGGTGGCCAAGACTTTACAGTTTAGTCATCAGAAATCCGGTGGTGCGATCAAGCCATTTTACATATATAATAAATTAAAGCGTACGTATGAATATTCTGATATATTTACACGCGTAGATAAATAAATATTTCAATTAGAAATATTCTTTGCAGTCATTTGCCGAACTATGGTGCCTGGACAACAAGAAGATGCTCACGAATTTTTACGCTATTTATTGGAGGGAATGGAACGCGCGTACTTGACTAGGCATAAAGCGACTAAGTTGGATAGCTACTCTAAGGAAACGACACCTATTAATCAAATATTTGGTGGCTATATACGTACTGAAGTAAAGTGCCTGCAATGTCAACATGTATCTACCACGTTTCAACACTTTCAGGTAGGCGAGAGAATAAAGTGATTATTATTGCATATAATTGTGAAACGATCGATTTTCATGTGATATTTATAAACATTCTAACAGGACTTGCTTTTGGATATACGCAAGGCGAATACTCTGGATGAGGCGTTAAATAGTTACTTCAGTAGGGAACAGTTGGATAATAATGATTACAAATGCGAAGCCTGCAAGAGGAGAGTTCCTGCCACCAAACAGTTCACCCTGGAACGTCCGCCAAAAGTGTTGTGTATACAGTTGAAACGGTTTAGCTTTTTAGGAGGAAAAATATCTAGACACATCGGTTTTAAACAGACTGTAGATATGGGTCAGTACTTGTGGAGAGAACCGGGCGAATCTCCCAAGCAGCTCACTTATAAACTCATGTCGATGGTGACGCACATGGGTCCCTCTGTGAATTGCGGCCACTATACGGCGGTTGCGCAAGTGTCGAGCGGTCAATATTATTCCTTCGATGATTCTTGCGTGCGTCCGATAAGCCTTAATAATGTGTTAAGTACAAACGCGTACATCATGATATTTGAAATGGAAAACTATAGCCAGAATCAACAGATCACGAAAGTGAACGGCACGACATCCGCGAAGATTGTATCGACTTCGCTATCCAATTCTACAAATAAGTCCATCGTCGCATCCAAAGCCTCGACGTCCGCTGGATGTTCTGTGAACGGATCGTCCAGTGGATTGTCAAATGACTTTAATTCGAGTAAACCGACGTTAATTGGCCCACAGTTACCGCCGCAAAGAAGTATAGAATTAAATCTTCCTGTACAAAAATCCAATGACATTGTTAGCACGCACTCGTCACAGAAAATGCAAGATAAGTCACAGCCGAGATTAGTCGTGCATATTAAAAATGGGAAGGTCTTGAATGGAAATAGTCTAGTACCCTATGATGGATCCAGTGAAGAAGAGGATAACTGTACCTCTGGGACAGTGACCTCGAAAAATCAAATGTCGAATACCACGCCGCGAATCAACATCACCAACGGTGTATCGAAAAGTCTTGTTGCGAAGGACGTTATAAAAACGACTTTCAATTCCAAGGAGACGCAGAAAGCTAATTCTAAGAGCAACTCTAACGGTGTATCGACAATGACGATGCAAGTTGTAGACTGTACAAAAACGCAAAATGGCTCCAATAGTAATGGCCGGATAAGTGTATTGAAGCATCAGAACGGAAAGACGGAAATGAATGGACAATCGGAGCAACGCGATAAAGATACATGGCGTCAGACTGTCCGAATTAAGAATGGACAAGACGAGACTGTACCTACGAAGGCTGCAACTAACAATGCCAAAGGTTGGCAAGCTAGGGATGCAGCTTCTCCCAATGTCAGCGGGTCATGCAACGGATGGTCAAATAATGACAATAGGTAAATTTTTTTACATATCTACGTAATGTGAATCTGAATAATAACAACAAGGTGAAAAAAATCTATTATGTCTATTTTAGGGAGGACTCTAAGCCAAGTCAAAGTAGCATGACACCGAGTGCCGCAGCTGTGCGAGATTTTAATGGTACCAACCGCTCGGATTGCACTGTTTCATATTTATTGAAAATGTCGCATCGCGGATACGGCAGTTCCTCAGGTTAGTACATCAGTCATTTTTGTAGAAAATCTATAAATATTACATGAGAATTTACAATCTATTGAAAATAATTGTAAATCAAACTTAGAAATCTAACTTAGAAAGAGGTGGTGAAACTTACAATTTTCTATCTTTTTAGTAACGAATTGGAATGGCAATAGAACGCAGCTTGACCGCGACGTTGATAACGATAGACGAGATGAACGTAAACGTCATTTTAACGCGGATGACGAGGAGATGGACAAAGGTCGGTCGAAGAAGATGAAGGATCACAATCGTCGTTCATATGAGGAGAGATCTACTAATTCATTCCAAGAATACCAAAATAAGACAAACTGGAATCGATCAGTTAATGGTTATCATCGGAGACATTATTATAATACTTCCTATGCGCGACCGCGGCATGGGAACAATTATAGACCGCCACATTATAGATATCACTCATATAGATATCTATAGATATTGCTAACGCGCTCACTTTCACTGGCATTGGCAGCGTGAGCGATGGGCAAAGATGAACAGATTTTAGGAACTATATCGACAATTCAGAGAGCAGACTCGTTTTACTAGGCTATATAATTATACGTTAATTGATTCTCATTTGTAGAATAATTTATCATTTCTCACAATATGAAAGTGAATTTGGAAATAAACTGTCGGATTTCGACAGTTGATATGTTCATTCAAGTCTCATGATTATTCATTCATTGTTCAAAAAACATTTATAAAGCATGTTCCTGATAAACACATGGCATTTTTTTGTGCCTCCGTTGCGTAAGTTTGATATATCCGCGTGTATATCGTAAAGCGCATAGGGGGATGAGTATCATCAGCTGTACCATTTTGTGTTCACAATATGGTTATTGTAGAAAATTGTAATCTTTTTCTTGTAACCTTTTCATGGAAATCTTTAGGTATAATTTGCGTATTTTCATCATTAATTTTTGAATGAGGTCGGAAAATAAAGTTGTATCTGTTGATAAGTATAAATTAAATGCAAATTAAACAAATTATTTAACACAACTTATTAGAATTTGGACAATTGAGTTTTAGAAAAAAGATGAATTAGATAATATACGCAAATGTAAACAATATTAATTATTAATCTAAATTATAACATAAATTAATAATTAATTTGGTAACGTTTAATAAATAAAAAATTATTTGTTCTATTATTCTTTATCTAAAATATCGAATATAAACCTCTCGTCTATTGTACTTTATCCCTCTTATAAATAATGATGAAATAGCATAGAAAATTTTATTGGTGATATATGCTAATGAATAATCTTTGTTGCAATATTAAAAAAAGAGAAAGAAACTAATAAAATGCTTTTGTATTACATTTATACACAATTGTGTTATATGGATACACAAAATTTAATATGGAAGCAATTTCTTTCCTAGAAGTAAAATATTTATATTTTAGATTACATATATATGGAGTATATATGTAATAATCCGTCCTCTTTTCAACAGAGGTACTCTTCCCCCTGTTAGAAATGTTAAACGAAACAACCATTATTCCGTGGTATTTCGAAGCAAAAGATGCGCAGCCAGCAATCGATACGTTTTATGGCAATACTATAATGCTATTTTCTTTTACTATAGATTACAATTAATAGCACATATTTATCAGTGAGTGCGATTTTAAATATGTTTTTAAGTGTTTCTACTGCGCGATTATCAAGATAAACTGTGTATAACTAAATAAGTAACGTATAAGTTATAACAGTTAATAATATTAATAATATCGAATATGTAATAATATGTACATTATTTACGATATGAGCCCAGGAGTGCTTATAATATTAAGAAATCACTATTAACGATTAAAATTACAAAGCCATAAGTTAATTTTTTAAGCGACATGTGAAAGAGTCAATTCTCAATTATCTCATCCCTATACAATACCTCATTACATCATTATCCGAAAAAAAAGGAGTTAGCTGAACGTAAAGGAAATGTATATCAGTGAAATTAATACGCGATGTTATAAAGTGACTTATACACTGTATGAGCAAACCAACGCCAGATTTATTGTACATGTATAAAAGAAAAACAACAATGTCGTTTATATAAACCGTAACAATCAATAAAAAGAGAAATCAACTGAATGCATCTCTCTTCTGAAAAAAAAGGACACTATCGCATCTCGATAGTATCGAGTTGGCTATGGAAATATCTGTTTAACAAATCGGTTTGACAAAGAATTTTATATATCTGAGATTATTTCTCTCTGCGAATAATTATGATGACCGACGACATTTCGAGTGATGACATCGCACGGATGCTCGAGAAAAATGTAATATATAAATCTTGGAAAAACATGTTTTTCGCTTTCAATTTTAAAAATTGTCAAAGTAAGAGGTATATATTTGATTAACATTTGCATTTTATACAGGTGAGAATTCTGAAAGCGGAGGGCCACGGTCCGGACGTCGCTCTCGAATTCCGTGATAAGCTCGAGCTATTTGGCAAATTGTTGAGCAATGTGACGGATAAACTTCAGTCCTTATTGTATTTATCTGAGAATTACGCTTTTGTAAGCAATGATTTTAATCAGTTTATGAACGGGATTGCCGATTCGTGGTGCTCCATCAATAAACAGGTAAGGCTTCTGTATTTTACATTTATGCATTTCTTATAAGTATTTACAGGATTTGCCGCAACGATTGTACAGATCTGTGAAAAGTGTTCCAAGATTCAAGTTGGTAGTCGTACGCTATCAGGAATACCGTTATCAGTACTCCTTGAAAAGATAAAGAAAGAGAGATCTTTAACATGGGAATTATTGCGCACTCATAAAAATGAATATAGTCGTGAATATCTCGCAAAGTGTCACGCTTTGCTAAATGAAATCGATGATCTAATACGTAATCTCGAGAGAAGCGATGATAAGGCACGTATTTACTACATTTTTAACATCTAACATATCTTTGCTTGAGTTGAGTAAGAAAAAGGCCTGTAAAGGAAAAGAATATATACACACACCACCCACACACACACACACACACACACACACACACACACACACACACACACACACACGCGTTATAGAATACTCTCTTCGGTACGAAATTGTATAATCAAACTTCTTTTCAATTTGTAGTTACAGCAATACATCGCTACGTTGAAGTTGAATCCATTCCTCGTTGAGCTAGAATCTCTTATAGACGCATACGCAGCCAGCGTTGAAATATCGTCGACCAACAGGTCCACATGTTCAACACTGAACATTTTCTCGTTCGTCACGAAACTCCTTACCGGTGAATTACTGGGCGACGAATTCGTGGACCCGAATCGTGTTCTGGCGGATAACGCGCCCAGAAAGCCAGTTTTTATCATTAAAATAAAACGCAGAATGGACCTTCCGTCGATGCCAGTTGTGGAAACGATGCGAGAGTCGCGCATAGCGCTTTAGAACGAAAGAGATTAATATAATATTATGAACAGACATACATATATAATAAATACTTTGTATTTCAGTATATAATTTGTATTTGGCAACGTGTCATAAACATCAACGCGCATTAAAACAAACAAAATATCAAGGAATGGAATTTGCTCTCCGGTGCTATACAACACGTACGGGCCGCTTGTAACATGTATAATACATCATACACGTTCATTTTGGTATCCTGAAGATACGTACCGCTCGTAAATGCGCACGTCGCGCTCAATAGTCGAAGACTAGATTTAAAAGATGCCCTCGAGATCGGGGATAGAACAGGATGGTGCCAGTCTTAACGTGAGGTCTCTGTGACGTAGGAATTCCGGCGGGAGAAGCTGTTTCTTTCTCTGTAAAATAGTTAATAGAGTAACAATTCATGCGCGCTGTACGGAATGTAAGATGACGAAGGTGCATCGCGGTTGCAACTAACCGGCGGAGGTTGTGGGACGGCGTGCGTAACGTTGGTGACGACGGGCGCCCATCCTTTCATGTTCAAGCATTTATAACACGACTTGGGCTCGCCTAGACACGTCGAATGATATCCATGACCGCAGCTGAACACTACTACGTGATCGGAGCAATGCGACAATGGCTGTCTGCACACAGGGCAAGTCACGGAAACATTACCACATCCTCTACCAGCGTCCCTGAGCGACAGAAAAATCGCTGCTTACAAATGGATGTATATATATGTAAACTAATATATCTTTCATCTTTCACATTCACATCTTTCATATTCAAAAATTCTCGAAGTACCTCAAGGATTTTTCCAGAGCCTTATGAAGCTCCAAGCTCACTAATCGCGCGGTAGTTTCAACTAGGGTTTGCTCATATCGTGACTGAGTGAGGACTCCAGACAATAGTTGTCGTATATCGCCCATCGTGCCACTGGTCGCTAAAGGATTCCTCAGAATCTGCTCTAATATATTCGACAGTATTGACGTGCCACTCAGAGACTCTAAAATCAATCGCAACAATTTGCCACTTAACTTGTTCATCTTCTGCCTGTTATTTTCCGATTGCGGTCGGAACATGGCTTCTACGAGGGGCATCCAATCAACATTCCCTGCCGATCTCCGGCATATTCCAGCGAGTTGCACGGCAGCGTGCACTGTCTCACTTTCCGAGACCTTGTCTTGCCGATACATCTCCAATCGATCCTCAAACTCTTTTAGCAGAAGATCAAACGCATCCTGATAATTGCCAAGTTTCTCCAGCATCACTGCCTCCGCATCTTTGCATTTCCATCTCTGGACAATCTTCAATGCCTCGTCTAGCCTACATCCGTGTGACCCGTGCAAGTGAGCAACTACGCGCGCTGGCTCCAATTCACACATCAACGCTAGATATCTCTCTAAATGCTCAGTCGTTAATTCCAGAGAAATATCCTCCTCTTTGTACTGCGCGACTTGATACAATGCTCCTAGCAACTTGTACTCCAAGCTCGAATTATTGAGATTCCGTAGTGTATCGTCAATCTTGTTTTGCAATCGTGACGCAATAATTATGGCGAACTGATTGGCGTTGATCGTCACGAGAGTTGAAGCATGAACCGATACGATTTGGTTCAACGAAGCAGCTGGCAGATGCTCGAGCCAAGGCCACACATCGTGATGCCTGGATGGCTCCAGGATCATACATTTACATACCTCCACCCAATCCTCTCGCGCACTGTACAGCAACTCCGCGACTCTTATACTGTAATGCAGAAACATCATGATGGAATTACTCGGAACAAAGAGACTTATAATTCGTCAATTAAAAATACTTACAAGTTAGCTCTATTCGCTAAATTTAACAAAGTATTATCAGAAATATTGCACAGCTTTTTAGAATTCAGCAATCCCAACACAGCATTTTCCCTTTCAGTCTTAAAATCCTTCAACAGTTCTACATGCGAGTCGATACACAATACATCTATCATTCTATTCAACGTACTAGACTCTAACGTAACCGTGTTCTCGGACACTTCGTTCGCAACGAACGTTAGAACCATGAACTGTTGTTCAATTGTGATATAATCAATACTTTTCGGAGTAAGTGGCGTACTCGGCATAACAATGCTCAACAAAATATCTATGAGTCTTTGTCGATGCCGAAGGCCCATCTCGGAGGTAAATTCTGGTTCTTGAAAAGCGATGGCTATAACATCGAGAAAGCCCTTCGCGTCGAATTGCAGTAGCGTCCTCAAATACGGATACTGTCTCTCCATGTCATTCGCTAAACTGGAATGCTGAGATAACAGGGCTCTCAATATGTCCGCCTTTGCTTTCTGCCTCATATCTTCGGGTAGCTCGTCTTTGGGAAATCCGCGACCAGCGAGACAGCAACTGGTATAAACCAGAATGGCATTGCCGAGTTTTATACAATCTCGAGAAAGGGCGGCTATTGAATCTTGTAATAAATTTTGAAGTACCGGTACCAATTGATGAATAGGCGCTGTAAAATCGCCCAAGGCTGTTGTCTGGAGGTAAATCAATGCCTCCCACAATCCTCGCTGACGACAAATTGTTGTTACCTAAGGAGAAAAATGTATATTTTGAAATCGTTAATGTTATAAAAATTATTTTTAAAACATCTATTTTACTTGATGAATATCCAAGCAATCCACGTTGAGCAGAACCACGATCGCCTCCAACGTATCTACTTTGTTTTCTTGATCATAAAGAGTGACCAATTGCTGGGCGATTAATGGCGGCAGTCGCGGTTGTAGACTCCCGTCCAGCAGAGGAACTTCGAGAGCGTGCAAATAACTTGTTTTCAATCCTTCCGATTCGAAAACTATGTCCCACAACTTTCCGAACAACAGATCCAGATTTTCCAGTTGAATGCAGTAATCGACGCAAGTTAATACTATCATATCGTAGTCTATATTTTCGTCGACGAGACACTGATTCAATTCGTCCATATATTGTACCAATACTTCGCAAACCTTATCACGCGCTATTTGTTTGCGACGTTGCTTAGAACCTCGTAGACCGATAACCGCCTTGCCTTTATCTTGATAAAAAGAAAGACCCAATGCTAAAGCTTCGGGGAAGCGTTTCTAAAATATAATAAGACATTTTTACTTTCAACATTGGACATTTGCCATTCATAAACTGACCTGCATTATCAGATGCTGCAATCTTTCAGTCCATGTCCTCATACATATCACATGTAAACTCTTTGTACCTAATAATAACAGTTGTGTACCGAAGACTACAACGGTGTTGTAGCATGCCCGTTCGCCGGCCAACGCCATCGCCTGTACAGAATATATTGCCAACGTAGTGCTAAATATATTCCTTTCTATCCTCGATACTTCATTTCTCGTACCTTGGAAACATTTCCACCAGTAGATAATCCCTTAAAATGACTAGAGGCATAAGAAATACCAACGCGACTCATGTCTAACGTCTCCAAATTATCCTGCGCCCTTACGTCTAACAAATGCAATTTTTCTTGAGCATCCAATACCACAAGAGCTCTTGGGTTTAACCATCTCAGATTGCTTATCATGTACGGTAGTGTCATTCTCCGAAGAGGAGAGAGCTTTATCCGCGTACCGATTTCGGTGTACACCTTGTGTCAACAGGCAATATTCTTTAGTATCCTTAAAAGAGAACAATCAGACAAAAGATATAATTAAATGCTAATACTTGATAAAAATAGACCACGTTGTCCCTGGCGAGCGCCAATACCGGATCGATTACACGAGATCCGTCAGCCGTCTGTATGACAACCAGTTGCCAAGACAGTTGGGGCGGTGCTGTCGGGGCACCAGTTAACGGATGACTCAATACAACGCGCATTCGCGGTCTTATGCAAACTACAATCACCTACAAAATAAAATAAATGTTATACATTTAATTAATTACTGCGCTATTGAAGCTTATGAAAGACAACCTTCGACAATGTTGCCATTGCCACTAATGTATAATTCTTCAGTGGATGTGATGGCAAGTGATTCAATAATAGAGGCTCTAGGGTGCACACTTCTCCCTTTGAGCCACTGAACAAACACCTACTGTCGCAACCTCGTACACCCATCACTCTAGTGAAATTTAATTCGAACACCGACCCACCACTGTCGCTACACAAGGCTATTTTCGGTGAATCTGTAAACTGAAATGGCTGGTTCAAAAGCGTCGATCGGATAGATATATTCAACAATAGTACACATATGTATGTATGATTTCCCGTATGTATCACTTTCCGAGAGAATTCACAGCAACTTGTACCTTAACATGTAATACAGCAGTGTCGAGTGGATGTACATCAGTGAGAATCCTCAAAACTTTTCCATTACTGCTATCCAACATCAAGATATGTCCTCTGACAAAACCTGCTAACACTCTGCTGCCATCATAGTTGAAGCAAAGTGCCGAGACTGAACCCTGATGTCTCGCCTCCTGATCACACCATCGCAATGTTTGTGAGGAATCAAAACCCAATATTAAACCATGACTGGTTCCGATCACCAGCATATTCCCTCCAGCTGCAACTGCGCTAGCCAAACCAGCGTTGACTCTCTCCTGTGTAAATTATATTATTTAAAATTATTTAACAAATGATAATTATAATTAGGTTCAATTGCTATTTATATAGCGTATAACAACTGTTCAAAGATCTATAATTTGAAGGAATATGTCTCCTGATATCTCTCGACATAATGAATGGAATAATTGCTCACATTGGCCGATACAATTTGTGATGTTATTCCTTTGAGTATGACGTGCCTTAAGATAACACCCGAGGATGATCTCTGAGTAGCCTTGGAGGATTTATTTAACGAATTCAGTGACAGGTGACTGCCAATGCTGGTTGTCTCGCTGCTACCAAGTTTCTCTCCTAACGGTATACCAATGTCATCCTCAGTTTCCGACAGTGACTCATAATCAGGTTCCATCAATATACTTTCTAAAGTGGGTAATTCTTCCACGATCGGTATGGCATATTCCATGTTATCTAACTAGAAGGAATGCGGTATGAGTATTGTTATCAGGCTCCATAATAAGATAATATCCTTGGTAAGTAATAATTAAATGACAATTGTGACGAGTAACATGAACGAAATGAATTGAAAATATAAATGATACAGTGTGATTCAGTGAAATAACCCAGTTCGTGTCAGATTGCATTTTGTGATAAGTAAAACTAATCGCAGTATCGTCAGGCGATTGACGTTAAATAGATACCTCCTCGATATCTAAATTAATAGCCTCCGTAACGAGACATTCGTCACCGTCGGATACAAATTCATTCTCAGCCATTTTACACTTAAATTATGTTGTCGCGATCCCGGTCAGAACGGCCGATTTACAAACATGAGTATTTGACAATTGTTTGACACTTTTGTTTTCATCCTACATGTCTTCGCAAGTGCTAGCATATAGTCTATGATGGCTCGAAATCCGTGCCACTGGAATTCCACGAAAGATTTCTATAATATATGTAACGTGAACTATAGATTTTTGCGACTTCCGATTGGCTTTAACATCCATTTCTACCAATATAGAGCAATTTTATCTCGACTTAATTTACTCTTTATTTTTTTCTAACTTTCAGAATTAATCAAGATGAAAATAAGTTAAAATTAAAATTAATCTACACCGATAAAAATAAACATAGAGCATGTGCCTGTCAACACGAGACGTCAAAAGAGAAACATCAAGATTCTTCGTGACTGTATTAATTTCTGCACTTAAGAATTGGCAGCAACGAAACTAACCAAAACTGACTTAACCTTTACGGTAGAAAGCTCGGCGTGGTTTGATGTGAATATTCTCAAGATCTCAAAGCTCTTTCCATTCTCTCTTCCTTTTTGTGAAAGTATGCTTTTAACTTTATCAAATTACACAGCATTTTTACAGCTAGGCATTTTGATATACCTAATTTTTAAATATTATCTTTTGTGTTTTTATCTGAGAAGTTTGGTGTGTGAAGATTTAGGTAAAGATTTAGGTATACCCGACAATCCTCTCGTCTATTACATTATGTTAACATGCCCCTGATAGTTGTATCTGGGATACCATGCAGCGGCAAAACAACGAGAAGTCTCGAGTTGAAAAAATACTTTGAGGAAAAGCTAAAAGACAGCGGACAAAATGTAGAAATAATCAGTGAAAACGACGCAATAATCCAAGCAGGTTATGATAGGAATGTATACTTTTCAGGTAAATCGAAGTTCGGCATAATTTTTTTTTTTGATATTTCATAATATCTTTGTATCTTTCAGATTCGAAGAAAGAGAAAGCTATCAGGGGTTCAACGATATCGGATATTCAACGAAAATTGCAGCCGCAGAAACTGTTGATATTTGATGCTAGCAATTATATCAAGGGTTATCGATATGAGATCCGTTGTATGACCAAACTTTATAAGACTACTCAATGTACGCTGTTCTGTAATTTACCAATCGAGCAGGCCTGGATTTGGAACGACAAACGGCCTGAGTCTGACCGATATAATAAAGAAATCTTTGATGCACTTGTATCCAGGTAATTGTATGATGATAACAATAATGGTATAATACAAGAATTATAAGAAACCAATCTATAATTTTTGATTAATATCAAAAGTTGAACATGACAGGTATGAAGAACCAGATTCTAATTTCCAATGGGACAATCCACTTTTTACTGTTTTACCAGAGGACAATTTGATGTATGATGAAATTTACTGTTGTCTGTACAAAGGAAAATTACCGAAACCAAATAAGAGTACCCAGAATGTAAGTATTGTTTTCCTGTTCTTTATAAGTTTTTGGATATATTGATGTCATACCAATGTTTATTCTTTCAGATACCGTTAGCATCTGCAGATTATTTATATAGTTTGGACAAAATAACAAAAAATGTAACAGATGTAAGTTGTGCACATTAATTTAGAAATGTATATATACTGAAATGTATATATGTATATATATACTGATAATATGTTAGTGGAGCAAGTGAGAATTAAATACCAGAATTCACAGATACAATAATTACAGTTTTGTTTTCAACTCTTATTTTTTTAAAACAATTTCTTCCACTGTATAACTTATAAAGTTATATGGGATACTTTATTGAATAGTCTATGTAAACACTAATATTTTCTTTTTTTCTCTCAAAGGTGATATTGAAAATGCAACAACAAGGAATAAAAACTGATATAAAAATACCACATTCTAATGTGAATTTGGAACGCACGACCGATCCGGGAAAACTTGCATTGTTGCGAAGACAGTTTTTAACTTTTAGTAAAAACAACAGAACCAAGCTGATCAAATTGCCACATTATTTGTACAGTATCTCAATAATAATATACAATGAAATTAGATGTATATGTATATATTTTTTGGTTTTTTTTAATTTTAACGTAACTCTATATATGTATATATATATAGTTACATATATAGAGTTACATTAATATCTGATAACGTCACTCGTACAATTGTACAATAATGAAAATCACTGATTTGTAAATATTTATAAATCTTTGTCAAATATGCTCGCACTTTTGGTTCCTACCATGATACGACGAACAGCAAGTATAACTAGATCAGATATTGTCTGGAGTTATGGTACACTGATCAATTTAAAAAAATAAACTTCTATTATCTTTAAGATATTATCGAAGTTCCAAAGACAATCTCGTAGTACCATTAAAAACTCATTCATTTGAAAAATGAGTTTTAAACTCAGATTGAAACAGATAAAGATATAAAAAAAAAAAATAAAAAAATAGGAAGAAAAATAATGAATCTCGTGGATACTACGCAATGATAGAACTATTTTCCACAATAGTTTGTGGAGCACATGTACATTTAAATAATAACTCTTCAACATTCAATATTTTTCTTCGTAAAAGAAAGAGGTCACAATTTGTTCAGTTCTCTTGCTCTTGTGCACTGTTAGTTTCATCGCCATTCTGATTGTGATTTGCACCATCTATATCTTCATTAGGTTTTCGACAAACAAAATACACGCTGTTGTATTCGCACTGTAACATACTGTTAATGTTTTGAGCATAACGCGTTTTCACTTTTGTTTCTTCCTTCTGAAAAAAAAGAGAAAGTGATATGTTCGTGAACATTCCAGAAATATTAAATAGATGAAAAATAGAATTTTTTACCTCCAATTGAAAGCCAAAACCTAGAATAACTTCGCGGATGGCTTCATAACTCGGCTCAATTGACTCCTCATTCGGCAAATCACTGAAATGATAGAGCAACGGTCCGAGATTTATCCAGACACCACCTGGCTTCAAGATTTTGTAAATTGTCTCAATGAATTGGACGACATTATTAGCACAGTCTATGAAGAAACATGTTGCGACGCAATCCCAATGATCACTTTCAGTATATACCTGAAAAAATTAATTTTATTAAACATTGTTAGGGTCATTTAAATTTACGTGCTTTCGTTTTACCTCTAAAAAGTCACCCGCAGTCATAGAAAACTGCGCAGTTCCTGGAAGATCACTCGGACTCACATCAGGAAAGGAAACCGCTTGCGTCTGATGCTCGGGTTTCAAGTTGTTCATATATTGATGTACCCATGGATGTACATGATACAAATTTATATCTCTACATCTGTTCCAATAAAACATGACAATTATGACAAAAGATTTTATGCAGACGACACTATCGCATCCATCATTACTTACTTATTCAATACAAAATTTGATGCAAACAGCATAAACAAGGAAAATTCATTCCCCTGGCAAGTATATCCGCGCTTTGCAATTTCAAAGGCGAGTCGACCCAAACCTGCACCAGGTACCAAAATATGTACGTCTGACGGTGTACTGAAAATTCAATTATCACTCGATATCTTTCTTGATTGCGTTGCACAAGGGAAGCTCCCGGAGTATCTTAAAGATTTTTAATTGCAATTTTTTTCAAAATTACTTTTTTTCTGTCTATTAAGACTTCCGGTAAGAAAGTGCAGTTCAAGATCTCCAAGAAATTTTCCCTTGTTTCACTTTCTTCATTTTCTTGATATAAGTAATAACTGCTAACTGCTAACTGCTAATAATTATGGATTTTCATACCAATGTTCCGATGGAAATTGACATAATATTTCATCTATGATTGGCTGATAGCATGCCTTCCGTTCCTCGGTACCTTGCACACTCCAGTCCCGTACCAATTGTTTAATGGTGGCTTGTACCTTCTCTTGGTCAGACATCACAGGCCTCAGAGTTAACGCCTGTAATGAAATCCATCTACATTGTGCAAGACAAAAATTGTTGAATATAATTTTGACAAAATGATAAAAATGATAAAATTTTTAGATTGACAAAATTTTATTATCAAACCATATCTCTGTAGAGTAAATGTTCCTTACGCCATCAACTTGTGCAGTAGACGGGCAAACATTTTCAAATATATGAGCTACATCTTTTATTATGAGTTTTATAATCTGATCGTTGTTCTCAATGCAACGTTTAACCTCTTGCAGATGTTCTTTATACTTTCGTAAAAACTTCTGATGATGTGGTGGTAGACTGAGAAGATAAGACTCCGTTTTTCTTACCCTCTGCAAGGAGTGTGGTCTACGCAGGAAAGAAAAAGAAAGATTGAATGAGTATGGAAATTTTCCATGACAGTATTGAGACCAGCAATATTATTTACTTAATAAATAGCAGAGGGATGACCTCTGAATGACAATGGCTCATGAATGGTTCTCGCGATGAATCAACATTAATGCCACGAAGTACCTATTCGGCGTCGATGTTACTTTGATAAAAAGCAATCGAGAGTCGTTAAGATCGAAGAAACGAGGATGTCGTACAGGACGGAAGTGACGGTGAGAGGTAAAGGAATTAAGCTTCGAATTGGACACTTACTTGTAATATCTGAACGCGGAAACGATCCTTTGGAAATGCTTTCGTTCCTCTTCGTCCTCATAACTGTTCTGCATTCTCCTCGGATGCGAGCTCGCGGTCGTGTCCATTGCTTCCATCTTCGCGCAGACCGACTTTGTCACAAGTGCGGGCTTCGTTTTGTAATGAATTCCTCGCTCGCTCTCTCGCGATTCACGCGTGCCGTTACTAAATCGTCTTCAGAACAAGTTTCAGTTTTGGACCGCGCCGCGTCTGCACTTTCTGCGCTTGGAATGAGAGGGACGTATGGGTCGCGTACTGGAGAGAAGAGGAGAACGAGATGCGGAAAATACAGCTGACGGGAATCCTGTGCCGGCGATCCTCCTTCACATCCCCGCGGGTATAATGAGATAAACGTTGTCTGAGGAGAAAGAGGGACGCGGAGGGTGCAGGGCACTCGCCCGAAACGAACAGATCTCGGACGATCACGATCGATCCTCTTTGTTTTGCGAACCTCAAACTATCGTAGTTTTCCCCTATCAGCTGTTCTCGAAAACTAGGACTTTCCTCCCCACGCGCATATTCGCCACGTGACCGCGCCGAACGAGAAGAACGAGTGAGGAAGACGGAGAATGGGCGCGAGAAAGATGGAGAGCGAGCGAGAAAAACGGAGAGCGCGCGCAGCTCTGCTGTTCGTTCCGCGCGTGCGCACATTGGAGCGAGACTGTCCGATGGCCGCGGCGGACGGGGAGGATCGAGGGGGATATTTTCGAACAGAGGAACCGCACAGCCCCGATTTGACCCAATGACCTCGGAGAGACGGGAGATCGATCGAGGATCTCCGCCGCACGAAACGCTAATCGCGCCGCGGGAGTTGGCCGCGGTCCGCTCATGAAAATCACGCGTAACCGCCACGAAAAATCTAGGGACTTTCTTACGCGTCTGCTTCACGCGCCTCTCGCGACGATCGTACTTATTCGAACACGAAAAAGCGAACGCAAAGGCTTTTATCGTCTCTTCTCCTCCTCCGTTTCTTTTTTATTAATTAAGCTTCGTGCGATTATAGTCTTCGTCGTCTAAAGCGACGATTCGAATCAATTCGATGACGATGCTCGTGCAACGATGAATCTCGCAGGGACGAAAAGTCGAGCGCCGAAAAACGCGCGCGTCGTCACAACTCTCCCTTCTCCCCTAGATATTCGCGTTCGCCATTTTTAAAAGGGGCTCGACGATCGACAGCGCGATCCGGACTACGCCATTGAGACAGCGGCAGAGGGGATATCGACGGATCGACCGAGCGGGACGTGACGTGCGGTGGGATCGTCGTGTTCAGCAGGGTGGTCGGAGGAAACGGAGGGGACCAAAGTGCGCGGCAGCACGGCGAGAGAGGTGGTGGGTTCGTGCGTGCGACGTTCGTTCGCTCCTCCGTCCGTTGTGATTTCAGTGATTCGTCGTCGAGATAGTATCGCGAGCATCCCCGAAGGAATCTCCGAGGAGATTCATGGGCGTGTGCCATCGTCTCACGGTCACCTCATAAGACATCCTATCTCGTCCCGGTCGTCCACTTCGGCTCGATCCCCTGGTGCTTGGCGCAGCGCGGCGCGGTGTTATTTCGCGCGCGACTCCCGTTCACCAATGAGGAAGAATTACGATGTAAACTAGGCGGGGGACTGGCAGAAGATATCCCCTCACGATTATCTCAAACATCTCCATCCTACCGTCCTCGTGAGTCGAGGATCGCGGTCGCCTCTGCAGGGTGAGAGAGGCGCGCGAAAATCCCCTTCGGGTGTCTCGCCCCGACGACGTCGTTGTTGTTGTGTGTCATCTACGTAGCACGAGACAAGCGCAAGGATGTCGGGCGTGCCGCAGGTGTCCAGTGGACTCAGCAAGCTAAAGAAGAAGCACTTCCGGGTGAAGCACCAGAAGGTTAAGCTGTTTCGCGCGAACGAACCGCTGCTCAGCGTGTTTATGTGGGGCGTCAATCATACGGTAAGAGCCGTGCGGTCGCTCCGACCCCTCTCCGTCCCTTTCCCCCGTTGTCGCGCACTCCCTTCCCAGTACGGCCTCAACGTGGTGTTTTGACGTTTCTTGCCGTCCGCAGCGATGACGACGGCGACGACGACGACGGCGGCTACGACGGCTACGACGAGCGTGCGTCGTACGTCATCGTTGCTTTTCTATTTTCATTATGAGCACGCAACCGCGTATCCGTCGCGGACCGTTGCGTCACCGTCCGTCAAACGGAACAACGTAATATGCGTTGGATGTCGCGACATCGCTCTTGATTTGCCCGGCACCTCTTAACTAATGTCGACTCCTCTTTAATTCTGTCAATGTATATTAAACACTTGGCAAGCACGTATCTTGCCTCTCTCTTGCACTTATCGCTCCTTGGTATTTTTTCGGTCGTTGTTTCCTCCAACACGGTCGAACTTGATTGCTGAAACTTGATTGCTTTAATTAATTAAGTCCAATCTCTCACGAGATAAATCTATGACTCCTTATTTTTGCTGCATTGCAGATAAACGAACTTAGTCACGTTAACATTCCAGTAATGCTCTTGCCAGATGATTTCAGAGCTTACAGCAAATTGAAGGTGGATAATCATCTTTTCAACAAGTAAGTTTGCCTTTTTTTTCTCTTTTATCAAATCGTTGAATGACTATGTATAATATTGATTTCCTTGCGTCTTGAATCATGTTTTGCTAATGATGAACATATATGTTTATACTGTTTCTAAATATACTCAAGCAACTGCACGTGTAATAATCATAGAAATATATTCAGACAATATATTGCCTATTCTATATATATACAT